TTKRWTTTTTTYCCYTYCCCTGACTCCTAGATCGTAAGAAAGATTTGGTAAAGCTGCAAGCAGGAGAATATGTATCTCTGGGCAAAGTAGAGGCAGCACTGAAGAACTGCCCATTGATTGACAACATCTGTGCTTATGCCAAAAGGTAAGAGTGGTATTAATTTAGAAACTCTCTCCAGAGTAAACATGAAATACAGGCTCTGATCCACTTCTCTGATGCTATACTGTAGTTTTCCATGGTTTCCATTGAACAAGCCCCTCTACCAGAGTCCAAGTTACAAACAGCATCTCTGAAGTAGCACAGGTTCCCAGAGTCCCTAAAAGCTGAAGAAATTACTGCTTTTCTGTTGGCATTTCTCCTATCCAAATACACTTGTGTTCCATCCCGTCTCTAAACAGGTATCATTATATTTAGCATGTGTTTCGGCTTTCTGTCAGAACACCAGTGAAAAGTTAATCTGGACACTTTGCACTGATCCAGAGCTTTCCAGTGAGTTTTGGAAATGGCCCTGGTCTCTCTCCCTACATGAGGAGCAACTGTGGAGAWCTGCAGAACTCCAGGTCCAGCTGGGAATCTAAACTGAGATGTGCACAGGTGAAACGACAGCAAAGCCAGATTGTGATCACCCCTGACATTACAAACCAGTTCAGAATATCTTCTTGATAAGCCCATAGATGTGAACTCTTAATGCACAAGAAGGATCCTGTACAGGGGAATAACTACAGTTCAGAAAGCCCTATGCATCTGTGGGTCCAGCAGCAGCTAATTTATACCCTGCAATGAAAGGCTTGACTTTTTTTCCCTTCCTTCTCTTGCCACCCTATGTAGTGACCAGTCCTATGTGATCAGTTTTGTGGTCCCTAACCAGAAGAAGCTGACAGCACTGGCTGAGCAGAAAGGCATCAGTGGAAGCTGGGTGGACATCTGTAACAATCCTACAATGGAAGCAGAAGTACTGCGAGAGATTAAAGAAGTGGCAAACAAGAGTAAGTACCACAGCATATCCTGCTGGCCATGGGGGCTTATCCTGCAAAAACTGTCAGTTATGCTCGTTAACTGCTCCTCCTTCTTCCAGTTACTCTCTATCAAAACTTAAAAGTTTAATCATAAAATCATTGTGTATTATCCGAGGAATATTGATACTTTTTGTATTTTCAAAAAGATAAGAGTTTTTTTCAGCCGAACTCTAGAGATAGGTTGCTTGTTTAATATGGTTAAAATAAGGTCCAAAAGTGCTGTCAGTTTGGAAGAAAAGTTTCAAGACATTTGCTGGTAAGGAAACTGGTTGAGATTTCAAAGTGTCTTTTTCCCYGTACAACTTTGTTCCCTACAGCTTTGAACAACCACAGTCCTTGTGGCTGTAATGGCTTAAAAGCTTGCTCCTCCTTGCTCTGGTACTGAACGATCAAAAGCATCAACAGTCCTTTATGGGACAAAAAAGTGAACAAACTCACTGGGGAAGAAAGTCTAAAGCACTTGGCACTTCATACAAGAAATCAGTACAAGCTGGACCTAAGCACACGCTGAGCACTTCCTCCTGAACTACAGAGAGGAGAATCTGCCTTTTGAAAATGAGAAAACAAGAACAAAAGTCTTGCCTTGAAAAAAACAAATCAATCCTTAGGTTTTGGGCTTGGGTTTAAACATTTTAATCCCTGGTGTTTTTACCATGAATTGGGGAAATTACTATCCATATAGCTTTGTGTACTTAAACCCTTTGCTTATACATTCTTTCTGCCTTCTAGATAGTAATCTACTATTGAGATACAACTAATTTATGTGAAGTTTTTTGCAGAACTACTTTAAAGAGGTATTTCTCATTCTTAGCAGAGCGTGATGTACCTTCATCATAAGCAGGCACACATGTGAGGCAGCAGCACTCTGAGGCAGAAAAGCTCCCGGGTCCCGCTTGTGCTGCCGCCCAGAGGCTGTGCTGGAATTCAGCTCCGAGTCCATGTCAGTGGATCCCATTCCCAGCCTACAATGCCGATAGCGARCTCCATCCAGTACTGGGCACAGCAGCAGCTCCCGGTGCTGCTCCTGCCCTTTCCCTGAAGCGGTTCCGTCTCCTCCCTTGCTCCACCCTCTCTTCCCCGTCTTGGGCTGTTGCTGTGCAACAGAGAGAAGCAGCCTTGGTTGCAATGAGGCTGTGCATGTGCCAAGCCACTGCTTCCARCTGAAGGGAAAATAAGTGGCTAATGTAACAAAAATACAGAGAAGTCCCTTTGCTTTGAACTCTGAACAAACTTTTAGGAAGGAAAAATATAGGAAATAAACATTCAACCAGGTGACGTGTACAAGTTCTTAATTATAATTTAAATGTGAAGCACATCCAGCTAGTTTGAGTTACCTTAGTTATTCCTCCATTCCTGTAACAAAGAAATGTAGATTTCAGTGTATCCTCTTGTGACAGAAGTCTCAGARGTTCAGGTTAGTCAGTAATTTGTTTCAGGCTTTAGATTTGGCATTGTCACATCCAATACAAGGTCTAAATAGASAGTTACTAGAGTATTTGCACACCAACCAGCATTCAGCATCGGGACAGGGTGGAATTTGCCTGTGGCCCTTCTGTAAGGTCATTAACAGGACACCATATTATACAAACTACAGGGTGCTGACCAGATTTTTAGGGAGCTTGAATTAGTATTTCATTTGGCTTTATAATCAGTCATGCTTTTCTTTGTTCTTGTCCCTGCAGTGAAATTAGAAAGGTTTGAAATACCCATCAAGGTCCGGTTAAGCCCCGAACCGTGGACCCCCGAGACTGGGTTAGTAACAGACGCTTTCAAGCTGAAACGGAAAGAACTGAAAAACCATTACCTCAACGACATCGAAAGAATGTACGGAGGCAAATAACCAGCTCTGCTGTCCAGGCAGTTGTGCAGATGGTTCCTTCCCATGCCTCAGTTTTGGATGTCTGTGTATACTGTAGATATCACACATTCAAAAAATACACCAAATGGAAGACTGTAGTCTCTATCAAGTGAAACYGAGAATATCTTAGACTCCAAACTCTTAATTATTAGCAGATTGGACATTGATGGTCTTCATAGAGTTTTSTGTGATCATCTCCAGTTTTGAGACAGACATCATTATGTGAAGCAGTATGACCAGGTAATTTTATTATTGTTTCTCTAGCATATTCAGACTACTTACAACTTCTCTTTAACTCATGCTGAAGTCTGACCTGTATTTCAAAGAGGAAGAAATAGTGTAATTATGATGATTCTTCTGTCATAATAAGACACTTAGCAAAGGAGGGAAAAGGAGTATCTAATGTCTACCYTTGTCCTTTTAAAAACAAAACCAAGACAACAGTAATAGTCAAGAACTTGCTAGAGCTCACTGATGATGCACTGCTTGAGAATGGATGGATTCTTCTGCACATCAATATCTTGAATATTTACAGTGCCTACAAAAGAATAGGAAGTACACTTACTGAAGTAAAGGTGAACTGAAAAGCTTTCTAAGAACAAGTTATAAGAAAGTTCACTCAAGAGCATTGAATTAACTATTTCCAACTTCCAACTCACCAAATAGGTTTTTTATTGCCACTGCATTTTAATTCAAGCAGAGCTTTCCACTGAACACACAGCATAAAAGAAAACAAAGACTTGCAGTGCCCTGGGGTGCTGATGACAAATCAGTGCCCAAATGCAGAACTTGCATTTGGACTGGGAAGCAGCTGTGAAACGGATGGGCAGTGGTCTMTAAACAGTCTTGAAACTCAGAGGAGTTTTGGTGGGTTTTTTTTGGAGAGGTGGTTGCTGGTTTTGTTTTTAAGGCACTGATTCTCTAGACCTTCCCATACAGGTGAGTGCTGGTACAGGTTACCTGGACGTAACTTAGAGGATCAGGTTTTAGATGTTTGCATTCCTCTGTGGAAGGTATTTCCGTTCACCTTTTAACTGTGGTAAGCATGACAAGGCAACCAGAAACCAACAGAAGTTTCCCTGTCTAGTCTTGTTTTACTTACAAAAAAAGTAGTCTGTGGCCAGGGAATCTTTGTTTCATGGAAACTTGTAAAAMGGGACAAATCACTCTTTACAGAAATTCATTATAAACATGTTCTCATTAACTGGAAGTCATAGATGTGAAGAAGGAGGAAGATATAATTTAATAATAGTTCATCATTTTGTGTGCCGAATCCTGTACTGTGTCTTCTTTTGAATTGTAACTGAGCTCCTGCATCCCTGCCAGCTCTTCACACTTGAACCATAAGTGCTGTAAAAAGTGGAGGCTCTTGATACTGTTCTACTTTGCACTTTCTTAATCATTTTATATATGTTGCTTACATTTTGTACAGCTGTGGCCCTCAACTGCTCTATAYTGCAAATTCATTTGAAAGTATTTATAGATTTCTATTCATAATATTTGTGTTGTGTATATGACGGTTAAAAAGAAAAAATATTTGGTATTGTCACTGTACAGAAAGTAAAAGATTTTGTACATTGCTTCTCTTGAACACACAAGCTTGCAATTTCAGGACAARTTTTTCCTTTTCTGCATGTATATGTATTTTTTCCAGTTAAAATAGACTTGGGCAAAAATAAATCATGGCTCTATACTCTTCAAGTAAACCATCCCTTCTTCCTGGGGACCAACTCAGACTTCACCATGCATAATTTTCTCTGGCTTGTCCAGAACACTGCCAGCRCACCTTCCAAGAGCCCCGAGGGGAAAGGGAAAATCTGGTACATGAAGCTGACAGTATCAAGTTGTGCATGGAACAAGAGTCATTGAAAGGAACAAGGAAATAGGTTTTCTAAAAAAAATTTTTAAGACATGTACAGTTTTGTTTTTTTTTTTGTCAACAGGAAATACTTCCTGTATCCATGRCAACTTTTAAAATTATTTGGTCCTGGAGCCATGTCACCAATTTTTCCATGTTTTAAAACTGGTCATTATTAAATAGCCTTTAGTCATCCTGTTGGTATGACAAAAGTGAAATACATGCAAGAAAGATACTTACACTCAAGTCTGTCAGCAGGTTGTAAGACTATTTTCTTTAAGCCATGAATGTATTTATATGAAATGTATTTTATCTTCTGTGTCTTGGTTGACTGAGGATTGCTATTTTCAAAATATATATATACACATACACAATGTTAACATTTCAAAACGTGGAATACAACTTCAGTGGCTCAACTAGTTTGTGTTTGGAAGATCTTTGTATATTGCACARGTTGTCTCTCGTTACTGTTCTGTGCCTCACATTCTGTCTGAAAATGAGTCTACCCTACAAGGACTTCTCAAAAGCAGCAGCAGTGACTCCATGCTGCAGGTAATAAAAACCAAGCATCCTTTGGGCCTGGTTTTCCRTGTAAGGAATGAACTAAAGGTGGATATGCTGCAAAAGACAATTTGCTACACCATCAGCTTTCCAACCATTTTTGGAGAAAAGGAAGGATTACATCAGGCTACCTTCAAATAAGGGGATTATTTACAAATAATTTGCAGTTGGGCAAGAACTTTATCCTTCATTTTAATGAATTCTAAATCCCTTTTGGGACAGAGCTTGTGGAGGGGGAAACAGAATGAGCAAGAATGTAAAAAGAAGGAACTAGAATGCAGATCAAGGGATAGTATATCACTTCAACATTATTATGTGATGATTGCAGGTGTTAGAGATGCTGTTTATCTTGTGCCGGGCTGAGAGGACATACACCATGGGCCTGAAGGGCRAGGCAGAGGTTCATGTACTGCTGACAGTTCCAGAATGCTCAAAGTAGATGCAAGTTCTTCAGAAAGCAGCTTGAGAATTTAAGTCTTGAGAAAGAAGTTCAAAGAKAAACAAAACCCAGTTTGGATATATCTGGTGTAAGATTATATATATATTACCTCAAAAGACRTAATATCTCCAGAGAAAGCCAGAATGTAACTGCTACAACAGTGGGACTAGAAAGCTTCAGCTGTGAAGGAAGATTAGAGTTGTTTAGCTGGCCTGAGGAGGAATGGCACTGGCCAAGAGCTGATTAACCTTCAACTCCCTGCAGTTACCCTGCCAAAGGCACAAAGAGCTGCCTCAAGAGACAGGGGAGGACCAGGGTCTAAGTTTGCTCAAAGTGACATGGATGATTTAGTATTTTAAAAGAAACAGGATTGTTAATCAATTCTTCTGCTAAATACTGAACTAATGGCCCAAGATCTCTGCCACTGAAAGTCTTCAGAGCCTCAGAGGCAATGACCTTTCAACAAAGCCTTTGAGGAACAGCCTTGGCACAGACCCTTGGGTGGGGCTGGCAGGGATCGCTCCCTGCACACAACACAACAGGCAGATGTCATTAAGTGGCTTGAAAAGGAAAAAAAAGTGTAAACCAGGAGAACAAGGAGTTATTCCCTTAGGAGCAGGTGAGGTGGTGTTTAACCACCCCATGCAATCAGTGCCCTTGACAACATTCAGAGCATAACATGCAGGGTGCTTGCCTGCCGGCTCCCCTAGCATGAACTGCAATTCCCCACACACTGGCAGGCTATAAAAGGAACAGAATGCCAGTTCAGAATGTGGGTCACTCATTTCCAGTAGAAAGAAAAAAAAAAGACCAAATCTACCACATCTCAGAACAATAGCTTCAAATAACTRTGTTGTATTCTAATAATAAATTAGTGTTGTTCTGCAATTACATGCAAAACAGAAATAAATTCTTATGTATTTTGATGTGTTGGGGTTTTGTTTGTATTTTGGCTTTGGTTATTTTTGTTTGTGGTGGGGCTTTTTTCTTTCTTACTGAGCCTACCCAATGGGGCTAAGCTCTATTTACATGACAGTAAATCAATTTTCCTTTTGAAGGTTAAAATTTACACACTCAAAGCTTAAAAATAACAAATCTGGTGCTTTTTTTGCATAAGATGGTACAAAGGTGATCTACAAAATGCAATCAGCAAAACTTGCAGTCACGCTTACATTGAATTACAAACAATACACAGAGTAAAGCTCTGTGAACTTACTTAGATGAATAAAACACATTTCCAGTTAACTCAGTGCTGCAAAGTAGGTTAGTGATTGCTTTTTAATGTGATAGTATTACATCAGCCATGGAGGACCAGGACTGACACATTTGTACTTAGCCTGTCATTTTTCACATAATGTGAGTTCTGAAAAATGCTACTGGGTGCTGTAACAGGTTAAATCTTGCTATACCTTTAYTGGGGAGAGACATGTTTTAAAGAAAATCAAACCCATTCTAGACTGATGAAGTGTTATAATGAAGCTGATTATCACAGGTAATTTATCTAAAACTGTCTTTGGTTGGAAGTATRTAGCCTTGATATTAGACCAGTGCTAATTAATTTAGACAAACGGAGCTCTGGGCAGAGTGTCTGACCCTGACAGACCTGCACTTTTAAAGCAAAAAATAGGTAAAGCAAAAAGAAAAAGCAAAACCATGCCACAAACCRTTTACTTCCCCCCTTGTTCTCCCATTCTGAAACACCAATAACCTGGTTAATGGTGAACACTACCAGAGGTGCCACACATGCTGATCTCTGCATTTACCCTCACACGTCTCCAAGTAKAGAAGTTCAACCACCACCTCTGTGTTACCTCTGTTATTTCTTAGCATGCAGACCCTGAGCAGGAAATGCCCATCATTCAGGACATGGCCTCCTATCATTAAAATGCTGAAGCAAGGTGGTGTCATTTAAGTTTTACTTTTTAAAAACACAGGTAAGAAAGACACTTCAGTTTTAAAAAGTTCTGGACTACTTCTGACAGGTCAGTTGAAATTACAACTTCACATGTTCCATCCCTGGGAGGTGTTTCTGGGATTTTTAATTGTTTTAAACAACAAACCTAAACTTTTCCAGCTAGATATAAATCAGCCTATTATTTATGGTGCTCCCTCAGGGAGTGAACATGAAGAATGGATCACTGTTCTCTATAGATGCCTGTCCTGCTTTACTTGCTGTCTTTCAAGTCAAAGCAAACAGAGTCTCTGCCAATGAGCCCATTTCTATGACGTTTAATTAGGGTCATTAAACCAGGACCCCTCTGAAACCATGTTCAAAACAAAACACCTGTCCCACCTCCCGAAACAGCTTATGGCAACTACTTCCCAAAGCCTTTAACTACTGTAAATGCTGGCAAGACTGTGAATCTCTAACATGCAACTGCCAAACTCACATGTATGAATAATGACAATTGAAATTAGAGTTACCAGGTAAACAACGTGGGGGCAGGGATTTTAAAAGACCGTTAATACGGGCACAGAGTTTTACGAGGGGAAAAAAATACATGAAAATTCACCTGCCTGTTGCAGCCTCAAGGCTCTCTCCAGCACAGCCAAACTGGGAACCACCCAGAACTCACCTGGTTACAATTACCAATTGTTTTAGTGACTCCAATTAATYCTGACTCTGGATATCTGACCACCACAGCTGCTGCTACTCAAGTTCTAATACCCCACCACTCTTCCTTCCAGACTGCCTTGCTTTTTCTGCTACGATCCCCTCAACAGCAATCCTCTGGCAGCCTGTCCAGGGTCTTTGCTATTGACTGCTCTCGTTTTGTCAGCTGGGTGCTGTTCTCGTGCTGGAGATTTGGATTAGATATTAATAAGAAATCCATTACTGTGAGGTTGGTGAAGTCCTGGCACAGGTTGGCCAGAGAAGCTGAGCGTTCAAGGTTGAATGGGGCTTGGAGCAATCTTGTCTAGTGGAAGGCGGTGGGGCTTGGAAGAAGATGAGCTTTAAGGTCCCTTCCAACCCAAACCATTCAGTGATTCTATGACAAGAACCAGCTCATTCCTGCCTTTATTTTAGCAGACCTGCATTTCTTAAGCATGAAATATCTCGCCTATTCGAGGGAGTCTGCCAAGCGGTGTCAGTTCGCACCGCTCCGAGCGGTTCTGTTCCGTTCCGTGTGTTCCCCGCAGCAGCATCCCCGCCGAGCTGGGCGCTGGCAGGGCCGTGCCCGGTGGCTCCACCCCGCAGTGCCGGTGCCACCATGAACTGCAGCGAGGCGCGGCGGCTGCCGGCGCTGCTCGGGGCGGTGCTGCGGGAGCTCCGCCGCGCCGCCAACAGCAGCGCAGCCCCGCCGGGCCCCGGCTCGGCCGCGGGGGCGGACGGCTCGCTCTACATCCTGCTCATCATGATCTTCTACGGCTGCCTGGCCGGGGGGCTGATCCTGGCCTACACCCGCTCGCGGAAGCTGGAGTCCAAGCACGACCCGTACCACCTGTACATCGAGCGGGACTGGCGCCCCGGCGGCCCCGCCGAGGGGCAGCGGCTCTGAGCGCGGCGGGAYCGGCGGCCGGCGCTCGGCAACACGAAAGGTCCGTCCTGCGATGGCAGCGCTTCACTGCCCTCCCGCCGGGGCACCACGGACAGCGAGAGACTGCGGTGGATAAATTGTACTTGTGCAGTGGCATGTACAGCGCTCTAGGCTTGTGCGGTGAGAGCTTTCTTCAACTCTTAGGATCCATTTGTATTGCTCTTCTACAATAAATACGTGCATTACATACTGCAGCCTTTCWGTACTTATAAGRGGCTTAAAAAAGGAAGGAGAGTGAGTTTTTACAAGGGCCGGTGATATGTCAAAGTGGAACAATTTTAAACTGAAAGAGGAGAAATTTAGTTTAGCTGTTGGGAAGMAATTCTTTAGTGTGAGCATGGTGAARCACTCGAACAGRTTGCCCTGAGAGGTTGTGAATGCCCCATCCCTGGAAGTGYTCAAGGATGGGGACCTGGACARCYTGATCTAATGGTGGTACCCCAACCCMTGGCAGGGGGTTGGAACTAGATGAACTTTGAGGTCCCTTCCAACCAATACTAGTCTATGATTACTTACGCACAGAGACCTCTCTCATCAATCATATTTAGATCTAGTTTTAAATCTTTTTCTTTAAAATCTCTTTGTACTACACCTTGTTATCTGACCAGTGCTATTGGTAGCATTTAATGAAATGAAAAGTAGGTCCATTATTGCTGTAGGATGCTCCCTTCTGTCACTCTGAAGCACTGACAGCTGTCATGGATTGGATGAGTCAGRTCTTGTTCTGTTAAAGTAAGATGGGTTTGGATTACGTGGAAGCATTTCTTGAAACAAAAAGACCTTAGAAAAAAGCACCAGCACTGTGGCTTTGATGATGCACAGAAACTTCTAAAGGCATCGAAAACATCCTTACACACAGAGAGATGTGAAAWTCCAAGAGTATCTTTGTGTAACTTAAACGTTACAATTAAACCAACATACAGCATATGCTTTCTACAGAAAAAAGCTAGGCTGGCAGAGGTTGTTCTAGATGTTCTAGCCACATCAGTAGYCTGTGCCTTCTTGGTTTGAGTTTGGAGTAAGGTTTTTTCAAAGATTAATGAACAATTCTAAGGAAGAAATGCTGTCACTAGGAAAGCTGCACTATACAATCCAAATTATGATCTGGATTTTATCCAAACCACACTGCTGGGAAAAGAAATTTTGACATTGACTTCAAAGGAGGGGAGAATTTCATTATACACTTAAATTTCCAAACACTCATTAATATTTTTTCCAACAGAAAACAGTTGTCTTGTATTTGGCAACAACTGCATCTTGCTCTCTCTACTAACCTTGTGGGGAATCATTGTAAATTGAACACCTGAAGTGATGAGTTTAAAAAATAAATCCTGGAAAGGACTGGCAATTACCAAGTCAGTGTTGTCACTGCAGAAAAACACTGAAACATSTACAGTCAAATTATAAAGTATCCTTCAATATCATACACTGTGAATACCCAGACTTCCTCAAAATTTAAAAGTATGGGTAGGAGAAAAAATTCAAGTTCCAGAAACAATTTCAATGGGAGTATATACCACAGTACCATTGCTAGCATTGTATCAGTAGACATATGTGAAATCTTTAGCTTACCAAAGAAAACGTAGTAGTATCATGTGGGAAAAGGATCCATTTCTCTTACTCYCCCAAACTGCAAAGTACATGCAACACACTGTATTTAGAGCCTAACTAAAAACAAGRGCTGCTCATGTGAAAGTTTGCCCTGCATTACATAGTTATATGAAATAAGGAAAGCACAAGACCTCCTGCCAAGTAACTAAACATCTAATTATCTGCTGTTCTGTCTGTACCTTTCAACACCTGATCAAGGTCTCGGTGAACTGTAGTAATTTGTGATTTACATCAGTCCATCTGTTATTATAGTTACAGTTCAACCAGCTCTTTAAAGAAGGTAACACCACTGTGCGTTAAGACACACCAAAGTACTTGAAACACTCAAGAATTCATATTGTGGCACACAGAGACCTTGATATACAAGTATTAAGCCCAGCGGCAACAATGATTTCTTTTTGTTTTAGTAAGTTCAATACACTGTGTACTGGTTGGAAATCTTGAAAAACCACAAAGCTGCAAACCCAGTGGGACTGAACTGAAATAGGCTGCAAGACAAAAATTAGCCAYTGCAATTCAACACAATTTTGCCATCAACAGTATATTCTGCAGCACATGTATTACTGATGCAGGGCAAAATGGCCAATTAATATCTGTAATCCATTAAATCACAAAAGATAACAAGTTAGATTTATTTATATTATTAAACCCAGCCTTCTGAAGGAATAAGCCCGGCTATTAATGTCCTACATTTCTGCAGTTAGGAACAAAAAGGAAAAGCTTGCTTTTCTAGGAAGACTTCAATATTCTTTTTGTCAGCTCAGAGACCATTTTGAAAGAGCAATCTCTGGATTCACTTTCAACATACCTGCAAAAACATCTTCTGATTTGGGCTGATTTGTTTTTCCCAGCGCTCATAAACCTTTACACTGCATCAACTGTAACAGTCTTGCTCAGGATCATTACCAAGAAAAACTGATTGCAAAGCCTCATTGAAATCTTCAGCTTCAAACACAGCAAGAATTTTCCAATGTATTTGGAATTGGTTCCAGAGTACATTTCTAGAATAATACCTGTTTCCATACAACTGCTGACCTTGCATGAGCATATTCATCTTTGCAGTGTTAGCATTTAAAAGCTSCTGTCTACACTAAGCAAGTGTGTGTCAGTAATTCTAAACAGCAAAATAAAGTCAATAAATCACTGGCGTTATCACAAAAAGCATTTCTCATTTRAGTGTTTCATTTCTTCTTAGAGAAACAGCAGAAGCACAACATGTTCCCAGTAAAAATATTTACAACCCAAGGATTTGGCTCAATTTTTTACTTCATCCAGACATGTGTTGGAAAAGTCTAAACTTCAGTAAATTTTAGAGGGAAATGTCAGTYTGAAATAGATACTTTGGGCAGCTCATCATTTACTGCTTGAGAGTGCTCTTGGCAAGGCATTTGCTGTAGGGTTATACCTGACACATTTTTGCCCAGACATAGAGAGCTTACAGCCAGCCTGTTCCACAGGGCCCCACAGTCAGAACTCAGACCTACAACATAAGTAGTAAAGATAAGGAAGCCACAACTTATTTCTTGCACTTTTAATATCATAAGAACAAGCTATGAAAACTTCTAATAATAAAAAAAAAGGTAGAGTAACAGGTAGGTGGTTTTTGGTTGTTTTTTTTTAAAATTAATCTTACAAGAGGTCTTAAACAATTTCAAAAACTTACAAAATATATTCAAGTGTGGAAAGTTATTTTACTGGTAAAACAGCATTTCTTTATAATGTGCTTTTCTCCAGACAGGGTAAGGAAGCACAGGCATACCAGAACAAACCATTCATACCATCAGAACAAATCCCTTTTCTCCAGAACAGGCATTTAAAATCAATTTAACTGTAGTATGGTGAAAGTACAGAGCAACATAAAAGCAGTGACTGCTGTAGACAATACAGGGAACATATACAAAAGAGAAGATCTCTCAAGTCTTCAGTTGCTACAATTTCATACATGGAAGTGCTTAGCTCTTCAGCTGGCTTTGTTTCACTGACTGGTTGTACATGAGTAACTTGGTCTCAAACAAAAAAATGGAAGTGTTAACTTCAATTCAGTGTTTGGAGAATAGACATATTCATTTTATAGATGTCCACTGTAAATTTTGGGTATTGCAGTACAGTCAGCAATGGTCACACTAAACCAGCTGGATGGGTATGTACCAAACAAATTAAAGCATTTTTGTGTTCTCTTCTGCTAATTTCAGCACAGAATATTAACAAACAACACAGAGCTAGTAAGAAAGATTTTTTGTTTGTGCCATTAGTTACTCCAATGTAAAACCACCAATTGACTCTAATAGCTACATTCTCAGCATAATAAATACAATATTCTGCAAACCAGCATTTTCAGTTACAAAGAGCAAGAGCTAATTATGGTAGTACTGAATCACCCCAAGTGGTCCTCATCGAAGATGATGGAAATAGGCAGGGGTAACTGGCACTTCTCCCTAGCCTGAAGCAGTTGTCTTCCAGTGATTTCCTTACATTCCCCTGGATATGCATACCAATCCCCATTCCAGCTACAGATCTTACTGAGTTTTAACTGGGTTTGTCCAACTAGGCCAGTTAGTTATCTTCCTCGGTCATGTTCCAGGTAGTGGGGTTTTTTTTTTTGGTTTGGTCAGTTTTTTCAAAATTAATTGCAAAAGTCAGACTTAAAAGCAGCTTGCATTTGAATAGCATGAAAATAATTGAGAATAACATTTGATTGAAACATTGCCTCATATATTTTGAATCTCCCAGTCTGCCTAGAAAAAGCTTAAAAATTATTATACAAATTCAAACTTGGATAAAAATATCCAATAATATTTATTCACAGCACAAGCTTATCAGGTACTGATATAAGTGTGTGTTCTGGTGACTGCCTTCAAAGTCCAACGAGCCAATGCTACAGCTGCACCCATTGCTGCATTTTAAAAGGCAAAACCTGTTTTGTGTATGCAAAGCAGATCTGTAACACCACTTAGACAATCAACAGCAAGTTAAACAGCCAGTAGAATACACCACGCCAGTGTCACAGCTCAACAATGCTGTACCAGTTACAGGCATGCTTAGTTATGTTTTCTATCTTGTAAAGGAAATACAAATATATGAACATCACATATTCTCTTAAGAACAAACAGTAATTAAATAGAATGATCCTTTCTTCACTACATACAGAAATAACAATGTATATACAATATTTACAGTTTTCAAAAATTCTGTTCTTGCACTGTTCTGCAGGAATTCAAATTCTTCAGCCTGAAAAATAGGTACACAATAATTCTGACCATAAACAGACTCTGAACAGAGACAGGTTGCTAATTCTAATTTACTGGTGTAAAGACTAGAGGGCTTGAAGAGGAAATAAAGCCAGTCATTTCAGCTAAACATCCCGTTGTTTGTGGGATTATATCGCAAACTACAGATGCTTTAAGATGTTTCACCCAAGTGCGATATTGCTCATTTTCAGTTTTCTCCATKGAAGTCGCTGAACAAGTGAGCTGCAGTTGTACCTGCTTTCAGACTGCTGTTGTTGTTGAAACATGGGTTATGATCAGTTACAAGCCCCCCTCCTGTATTTTCAGTTACAAGCAAGTGTATGCTCAGGGATACAGCCACATTTTAGGTTTGGGTTTTTGTTTGTCTTACTCAGCTTAAAACAGAAATGCACCAGTTTGAAAAAAAGCTGCTGATACTCAAATTTACTCTTAAGTTCCARAGTTAAGATGGACACTCTTAACTTACAGTCTTGAAAAGTGTTTCAAAGCAGCTGGAAGCTTTAAACTACAAATTTAAAGCAAGTCACACAAAACCCCCAGAATCAATAATTAAAGGCAATGTTTAAAAAGAACATGAAAAACACAGTAAAAACCTGCATCAGAGGAAGATAGTGTTAGTGGTGCAGAGCTGCTGTTCTCAACTGAAAATAATGCAAGCACCTGTTCTGAATAACAGTACTGATGAGAAAAATTGAAGGCTTCACAGTAATACACACTTTCAGTGCCACCTTTTGACTACAATGTTTCCTGAAAAGACAGAAAGGATTCAAAACTTGCAGACTTAATAAGGGAAAAATAGTCCAAATCATGTATATGACAGAAATCATATGACCTACTTCTAGGTCACTGTAAGACTTCAAAAGAAAAATAATCAGTTTGAAGTCTTTCACATGCTCGTGAAGAGTTATTGGCACAGGAGCTCCGAATCATTCAGCATGCCCTACATATGAATTCATGGAATAAACAACCAAAGTCTGGGATGCTCAGACCAAAAGGAAACCCAAACATATATAGTGCTTTGGCATTAGAAAAGGTAACATTACCTTTCCAATGAATCGAGAGATTACACATTTGGGAGCTGTATTTGCTCCTTTCACTAACAGCAGAAACCATTGCAATCCTTCCCAGCCTCTTACAACCGGGAGTAGGTAGCTTTCAGAATTCCATCTTAAATGACACGAGCATCTTCTTCAAAAGAGAGAAGATGCTACTGTAAAAACAAACTTTTCAAGTTGAAAAAAAATTACGTTTGGTCAGAATTGTATACGAACAGGATTTTGYGTTCAAACAGCACAGTTTGAGCACTCAGCAGTGGCAGCATAGCTGCATGTAAGGCATTTTAGGAATGATTCGAATACAGCTCACTGCCTTCAGCACTCTACTAAATTCAACTAACATGAGCAACCTCTCACATTTTCAATTTATTACTAAAGCCGTGGTCACTGGAATCAACCCCAAAACATCTGTAGACCTTCCATAACAACAGATGCAACACAAAGAGCGCGTGCGTCCCCTGCGTGGGAACAGCTGCCGGCACAGTGGACTTGTTGGTGCCAAATGAGAGAGGTCACTCCCCGTGCCAGGCCCTGCTAACTGGCCCAGTCCTGGAAGCGGAAGCAGTCCCCGGCGATCTTCCACACGGTGTTGGTGGGGGTGGCCTGTGCGGTCAGCAGGAAATTCTGATTGAAGTAGCGCTGCTTATCCCCGTCAAATTTGACAGTCCCACTTGTCACCACGAGGACTGTTGTCTGGCCTTGAGTAGCTTGTTCTTCACAAGGAGGTATGAAATGATGAAGAAAACAACTCAAACAAAGACTAGCAGGTAAAGAGGCAGGAAATGTACACAGAAGCTTGGTTCAACTGTGGTTACACTGCGCCAGGCTAACAGCTGGGTACAGGCAGGGAAGTGCAGCTCTGGTGCAGCGTTTCTACACAGACAGCGGTGGGTTCACCAACACGGCTTGGCAATGGCTTTGCCATTTTCATCTCCTGCTCTTCATTTTAGAGCACTGCCAAACACCTCCGTTTGTGCTTAGAATAAGCTCTCATTACTTGAGATATACACACATATAGATATTTAGCAAGTTGCATGTACTTTTCCCCCCCRTTATTAGAAATTATATCTTTTCCACAGCAGAGCAAAGCAAGTGTGTTTGACCACAGGCTTTTCCCTTACTTATATTCCCAAGAGTCCATTGGAAGCAATTTATTAACTTCATTTATGTAAGCCTTTCTTTAGCAGTTGTTAATCAGAAATCAAAAGAACTTAACACCTATTCTAGATATAAAAAAATCAAAGTACACACAGGTTAATAACGATTTGTTCCACATTATACTGCAGGTCAGTACAAGAGGCCACTATAGGGGTCTCCCAAGCACAACATAACCTGATAAGCCAGCCTTTTTCCATACATGAMAACAGATCACTTCTGAATATGATCTAAACAAAAAAAATCCTTGAAATATTTTTTTTTCCAGACATGAAAAAAGTGTATAGTTGCTGCATCTCTTGATTTGTGCTTTATTTATGCACAACTTGACATTTCAGCCTTCGGTATTTTCTCTAAGCTTATTCCAAAGGAATTGTTAAGCACTATTGTAATTGCAGCTCTCTTTCAAAAGTTATAAAAAAAATGAAAAATAACTAAGTAAATTATAATACCACCTTACCGTGAACAGGCTGGCAGTCCAACACATTAACCTGGAATTCACTTGATGGCAACATTTCAAAAAATTTATTTAATTCTTCTTGCCCAGACACTGCATTTCCATTCCAAACTAATGTTGCTTTGTCCAAATACAGTCTGGTTAAAGCCTGAGTGATTATGAAAATACAGATTTAGGAAAAACATGTAAACATACAGTGGACARCAAACATAACTCATGCTATGAATTACTGATCTCTTACTTTGATAGATAAAATGCCTTCCTGAAACAGTGGCTCCTTTYAACAATTAGTGCTCCTGACCAAGAATTAAAACTAATAAATGTATTCACCTTAGAGTTGCACAGTGACTCATGTCTCACATACTAATGAGATCCCTTTAACAAAGGTGATGACAGAACTGAACTGGTTGTTAACCAAAGGACTGTGCCACCTTTCCACAGCAAGTTTATTGCTGGTTTTTTTTTTCTTTTTATTTCTCCTTTTTTTTCCCCCTTTTTTTTTTTGAGGAGGAGGAGGGTGTTCACACAACACAAATTATAGGCCAGAAAACTGTAATTTCAGGTTAAAAAAGAGGGAAACAAGACCAGGAACAAGTAAAACGACAGCATCAGACTAGAATTTCCCAAATGTTTCATAAGCTGTGACAGTTTACTTCAATGTGGTCCATGAAGACCRTGAAGCTTGAAGAACAGCTGCCCTGTGCTACCATTGCCAAAAGTGCATATGGTAACCAATGTTCAGGGACTTTCTGTGTAATGAGTTAGAAAAGTGAATAAAAACTGCCAAGACAGCTACATACCCTTCTCCTTTTGTCCATCGTCTCATAATAAATATTGACAAACTCATCTGCAGCTCTACAAGCTTGATCCACATAAGTTTTGAAATCCTGGAGGGAAGAAATTATATCAAATTACATAAGTTATGCAACCCAGTAACTGACTCAATTTCTCCTGCAAATCACTTTGACTGGTCTTTTCCATCCTCACCAAAAGATGACATCAAATAATGTTGAGATTTATTCTAAGCTCCTTTTCTACTTGCAGAAGTACCAGCTGTTAGGCAGGTGACAGTTTCAGCAACAATTTTGAATGCTGATGTATTTATTGTATTTAAATTGYAAATATTTACATTGGAAAATGGGTTACAGCTGGCTGCAGGTAGTGTGGACACTCAAGCATTCAAGATAAACAGTTGTTGCTGTGATGACTGTTCTGAAATAAAGTTAAGGAACAAGATTTATTCATGTACTTCTGAGAATTAGCAAGAACCCCATCACATGCCATCCTAGTCTCATTTTTAACACCCCTTTACATATATAAATATAAGAGAGAGAGAACACCAACATCTGGATGTATTCCTTCCAATAGTAATCATGCCCACAAGTCAAAACCAAACACTTCTCCTCACACCTCATCATTTTCCTTACATCTCTCTACTTTCATTCATCCCCAGGTAACAACCTTTGTAGTCCCAACACTGCACTGAGATCCCACTGGGTTATTTGCTCAGTTTGTTCAGCTCTTTGGCCCTTAATCTCTTACAGACCTGAACTGGGACATGCTGGAAAGCAGATTCTGAATTTCCTGCCCATACATCCATAAACCTGCATTTGTTTCTCCTACGATCATTTGTTTAAAATGCTATTATTTATCATTKTTCTACTTCAGTGTTACATTCCCAACATACTCTCATTCAGTACCTGCACTCAATCAGTGCTGAACAATTTCACTGCTTGTATTTTCTTGGCAGTTTTTACTGAATATGCACTAGAACCACCAGAAATTGCTCCAGTATTACCACAAGAAATATTTATAGTCAGAGAAAGCTCCATTTTGAAAAGTAACYAAGGCCTATCAAATGATCCCTGTTTATTCAACAAAGCCAAACGTGTTACTATGCACTATCTTTTTCTCTCTGSCTGCAAGGACACGAACCTGCCCTTCATGTTCCCACCTTCCCCAGAAAATTCTGAACTCACAGACTAATGCCAAACRAATGTGACAAAGTCTTAAAGACCCTGTATCCCAGAAAATGCCCAGAGAAACTCCAAGGCACTGGAGGCAAGAGTGTCAGTCCAGCCCCTGGGAATAGTGAATGCAGCTGTGCCCGTTGTGCCAGCGAGAGCAGGGGACTGTGAGCCCTCAGCCAGCTCACACTGCACACCAACCCTTCCCAGACAGCACCAAACATTCCCTTTTAGCTCTCAACAGATGGAATGGGCCTGAGCAAGGGCACTGGAGAAATACCAGAAGTCTGGAATGAGTTGTTGAGGTATCTGCCAGAAGTCTAACACGAAAAAACCTCTGTCGGTTTTGACCAGTTTTTACAGTCATAATAAGTAATCACTGTTTTAAACTCTGTGAACAATTTAAGATGGAATAAACTTCTGGAGGTCATCTGGTCCTAACCCCTTTTCAAAGCAGAACTGACTCCAAAGGCTAATCCTCTTTCCAGGTTGTATCTGACAGCTCTGGGTCTGGTGTCCCGACTCCTACCACGTTTGTACATCTCCAAAGATGGGGCTGGTCACAGGTGCTTCGGGTTTCAACATCCAACCACCTCCCTCAGAAAACCTGCTTCCCAGCATTTAACAAGAAAGCCATAACTGAAAATAAAAAAAAACCCACCCCAAAATAAACTTCTTCAAGACTCTGGCGGCAAATCCAAGCAGCTTTCCCACCTCCACGGCCGATGCCGACGGCCTCACCGAGCCCCTCTGAGCCCTCAGGCGCTGTACGAGGACGCTGAGGCCGCAACACACGGACCCCGCCCCGCCCCGCCCCGCGGACCCTCGCACGGGTGAAAGTGACCCTGCCCGCGCCTCACGCTGAGGCGCTCCCGCCCTGCCCGCCCCGTCCCTCATGGAGCCGGAACGCTCCCGGCGGCTCTCCCGCTCTCGCACGCCCACCCTCTGACACGCAGCACCCTCCCGGAACGCACAGCCCGCGCTCTCCCGGCGCCACGCCGCGGTTCCCGGCGGTTCCCGGCCCGGCCCGGACTCACCACTGACGCGGCCATGGGGCGGCGAGGCGGGAGGGCGCCGGAAGTGCCCCGGCCCGCCGCTTCCGGCCGCGCGTCCCYCGCCGAAAGCGTTCCGCCGCGCCGCGGTGCCCCGGAGAGCGTCCGCTTGCAAACCGCTCCGGCTGCCGGCGGGGCTTTCATTCCACCGTCACTGTTWCCAAACTTTCAAATCATCGCTGCTGGGAATCTCCCCGAAGAGCTGATACACAAAAAATTAATTAAAATTGTAATCGCARTTAAATCGCGAATAGGATTATGTATTTACCTTTTGGAAGGAGTAATTCTTAGAAGTGACTGCTTTAGAACTTTAGTCACAWTTACTCAAAATATCTTAACTAAAATATCTTTAATAAAGCACARATATATCAAGATTTCAGAAATGCATTCAGCCATCTCGGTTAAGCCATATTACCATTTGTTTTCATCTGTTGATTAAAATCAATTAAAATTGGTAATAAAGCATTGAMTATTTTCAGAATTGCTGCATAGATTTTTACTTTAAGTTATTTGATACTGGGCAAGTAATGACTACCGGATGAAAATGGAATTCAATCTCCAGTAAGATAATGAGTTCACATATTCCCACAGAACCTCATGTGACAATCATGCACATTTGCATTAGGACCTATGCAAAAATGAAGACAGGCTGCGTCTTGCCCAGGCCACTTTTCAAATGAACCTTGTTCTGTGTCACAGCAAACTCTGATATTTTCATAATTACCTCAGTTACAGACTAAAATTAGGGAATTAGATTATCCTTGATAAAACGAATAGTCCTTAGTTTTGCAAATAGTCTTGGTGGACTTAGATTAATGAGTTTGTAACTTTCAAGGGGTTATAATTTATTTCCCTCTAAGATTATGCAATTAACACTGACAGATTTCCAGTAGAACATTCTCCATTAAAATAACCCAACAAACTACAATACTTTTAAATTTATTGGTTCAGAATAGATGTCACATCACTGGAATCATAACACTCTTGAGCMCTGCACCTCAAAATCCCACTGCAGTGTTGTACAGAGCACTGAAGGGCAAGTCCAGGGGACAGCAGAAGGCAAACATTCCGAACATCTGCAACCATTCTACTCAACAGAGACCAAAGCACTGATCTGTGGCCTGTGTCAGGGTTTAATTTAAGCTGGTGAGGCTCCTCAGCCTTCATGGGCTGTACGGCGCTCCTGGACACACAGCATCCCCATTCCCAAAGTCCAGCTGACTGACACAGCTTTAGCAGATCTGGTGATGTTTACCAGAATTCCCTCGAGGACAGCAATTCACACAACATTTCAGCGCTGAAGCTGCTGAAACAGCATAGCAAAGGCTCTCTTGGGGCCGTACAGGCTGTTCTCTAAGGCTGAATATCTTTGTGACCAGTGAGTGGTTCATGTGRAAGGCAGGACTCTCGGCTGTTGATAAAATTACCAGAGAGTGCAGTAATGCTCCCAGATGTACAGAAGTTTGATGAACTGTCTCCCAAAACAAGGGAAGCAACTGACACCGGCCAAATGCAGACTCTGATTAATGGGATGCTTGTGAAACTGGATCATGACTCAGTGCTTGAGGGTTTTGCCTGAGCAAGAGCTGAATGAGAACTCGAAGATTTGATCTGTTCACTTTGATGAGAACTGGAAGTAGGTCTCGGGTGTTTGACCTACAGGCTATATAAAAAAAAGGAATGCTAAAGCTGGATTTGGGATTTACTAAACTACAGTGGACTAAAGAAAGCCTATTTTGGCCAGTTCCCAAGATAAAAGGTGGATCTGGGCAGAACCTGTGCTTATTACAGTCCCATGGGGACTCTCAACTGTTACCACTCCACCTCAAATTTCTGCCATACCAGAACTGGAGGAATGCAATGACTCTTATCCTGATAAATACCACCCTTGTTTTTTGAAGAAAAACAGGACTTGCTATATGTTGAAGTGGTAATTGTATCCAGTGGGATCCAATTGAGATCAAGTACAAATAACTGTCCCATTTTACTCCATTCAAAGCAGTCCCAAGTGGAGATAAATTTTCGGAACAGGTCAGTTCAAAGTGTCACCACATTTGCTCATTAAAGACATTTTAAAATGCTCTTCATTTCATTAGGTAACAAAGCATTGACCTCTTGTGAAAATCTGGCCATATGTATGTAAAACATATGATCAGGTAAACATATTTGTKGCTTTTTCCCTTCAATGTCTTTTCCCTTTCAAAAAAGAGACATATTTTGAGAATAGGAAAATCTAGTAAAAAAAAAAACCACTACATTTTCTTTTTTTTAATGAATAATTGTGGATCAGCTACAGATGGAATGCTAGCTACTGCACATTATAGATTTAATAGAATTTCTGTGCAGAGTTCACTCAGATGAGGAAGGCCTTCAGGGCTGCAGTTGTGGTTTGTGTGCTCTCTGAAATTGTTAGCTCAGGTCAGCTCGTAGCACATTCTGAGCTCCATTTACGTTTGCTCAGGCCTGAATGCTGGGCACTGGTAGGTAGCCCACAACAATCAACTGGTTACTGGGATGACCTGACATGAGTCAAATGCTAAGTAATATTTCTTCAGACCAAATGTACCTGTGACCTTTTAAGGAATCATTTTCCAGTGAAGAACAATTTACTTCCAGCTGGAAGTAAAGAGTTTTGTCACTTGCTTTTCATTACAAATTGAAGACTTAAGAGAATCCTGTATGATTATTGAGTATATGCTTGCAGATGTTTTATTTTCATTCCTAAATACTCTAAACTAGTCTGAGCATCTGACCTGTGGTTCTGTGCTCAGGTGATCTGGCACAGTTCTGCAGCAGGGAAAGCAACATACTTTTCTTTTGGACTGTCCCTGCTCTCTGTGTTATTACAATGGTACCCTGTGTTCCCTAAAATATCAGTAATCCAATAGTCAACTGTTAAAAAACGTCAAAATCACACAAACTCCAGTGAAAGCCATATCTGGCCTTTGATTTGTTTGCTCTGTCCAAATAGGGAATAMATAAAGCTTCTTCAAAATGTACCTTTAGCCACCTCCCAAGTCCCACAGCCCCAGTGCTCAAGCTCCARTTTTAGGAAATATCTTGGCTAAATGTCAAACAATTCCATCAGCTCTTTGAAGGCAATTGTTAGACAGAGAATGCATCYGAAATAATTACCCAGGCACTGTTCAATTAATCTACTTGGCTAAAAGGTGATGCACCTTTTAGCATATTTTGTATCAGARGCATGTGTTTCAGATGAAACTAATCAATAGGCACAGAGTAATTTCAAATTACAGACAAATACAGACGAAGTTAAAATTCAACCAGCTTGGTTACCAAACATATTGCAACTTAAAAGAACTCTTTCAGGCAGGATATTTTCCAGTTACAATTTCAACATATCACTACTTTTATTGAACTATTTTGTCTCTTTTGTAAAGTAAAAATAATTACTGTCATTTTGGGAGAACTAACAAAGCAGGTGCAAGTTCCCCTGTTGGTCCTTGGCCAGCTGATAACTGAAACTGCATTAGGTTTCCCCTGAGTACAGCAATTGGAATAGACCTGAATATTGGGAATTTTCTGTTTGCTTTTCACGACCACTTTTTCTCCCCCTATTCCTTCTAAACTTGTACACGTGTAATGAGATGGAACAACAGGRGACCCAGGTGGGAGCCCATAGGACAAATTTTATCATCAAAGGGTTTGCTCTTTTGTACTGACAATAAGATGTTGCTGTCTGGCAGCATTAATACCTCACTTTCTATGATTTGTGGGCAGAAAAGARACATTTTCCAAACAGATAATCCCAGTATGTTACATATACTTTTCTTTGCATGTGAATTCTTACATTGGTAGGCTGTGAAGGCAACCCCCACTCTGTGCTTCCTTTGAAGCTGTCAGTGTAGATGTAGRACAGCCACGGGGATTCTGGAACTCCCAGATGTCCCCAAAGCTTGCCCACAGTGACAAAACAGTGAGTCTGCCATCTTTCCTAGTGAACACTTGCATGGAGGGCACCATCTACTCTCTCCTTTTTCCCAAATATTCTCAGCTCTCAGCTAGACCAAAAGCAAAATACAAGATCTGATCGTGAATGCCCCCATCTCTCCAATAATTTTAAGAATATCCATTAAAACAGTGATGTTTGGTCCCAAAGGTGAAAGGAAAGGCTGAAGAGCAAGCCCAGACACAAATTTCCTTTTTATCTTTACTCTTTAATAGATTTGGTTTATTTATGGAGACCCAAAGCTAGGACAGTGTCTAATCTCATCTGTAACACCCTTATCTATTTTTCTTTGGCAAGTCACAGCCTTTGGAATGGATTGTTYATAATGGAAAGCATAGGAATCTTCCTGCAACATTTGTATTGCATTTACCAAATACTCAGTAGGATGAACTCGGATTCCCATTGCAGTTAATAACAAACTCTGCATTGCTGCAGTGTAAACACTCATTCATCAAAGAACACTAAATCGGTTTAACCCACATGATTGCACTAGTCTGCCAATGAGGAATATATTTAAWAAACACACTAGTAAATATCAGGGAAACCCAAGCTTTGAGTGATTTGCAAGGACCTTTATGATTTTATCACCAAACAGACAAGAAAGGTCAATAGGTAAACAGAAAAAAGCAARCCATATGACATYTTAAAAACTGKTTTTCTGCATTCCCTCAGAGTTTATATCAAAGCAAGAAAAGGGATTATCATCTTAAAAAATACTATTTTTCCATGTTGTTTTTCTCTAGTGAGGAGTTTTAGGATATGAAGATTCTTTTCAGAAAGACCAAACCAAAGGAGTAAGAGACATTAGAGATTTCCTGCGCAAAAAAAAATTTGTTTCTTAAGGATTGAGAGCAGAACATCCAAGAAATTGGCTTTAAAGCCATCAAGACAGCCAYGAACAAACCAACATGCTAAAGCTCTGTTGATTTATTCAGCACAGTGCACCTGGACACACCAGCTGTCATACATATTCCATCTGGAGCAAGAGCTGTTTGCTCAATAGTTGTCATATTGTCTGACACAAACAATTGCTTGTTAAGTTTTTCATCAGGGATTCTCTCTGGTGTTTGAAATACTGGAAAATGTCACATTTKGTTT